GGTTGGCACAGCATAAAAAAAAGCGAAGTGAGGAGAAAAAGAGATAATTAAAAAGCCTCGGCCCCAGCCGAAGAAGCTTACCATCCTTAAACTTTCGGCTGAGGCCAACAGCTGCTAGCATGTTCTCTTGGAAAACATAATGCGTATCGGGGAGCCAAGTCTCCGGGATATGCTGCATTCGGCCGCTGCACCCCCCCCCCCCCCGGTTCGGCAGCTTGCCGAAGATATTTTGTTGATCAAGGTTCGGATCCGGCCCGTTATCTGCGGGGGGACCTAGACTTCCCATGTCGGGATCAGGCTCAGCAAGGTACCGGGGAGCGCTGAAGACGCAAGGGTGGCCCGGATCTGTGGGTGCCCTAACCCAAATCCATTGACCTCTCCAGTCCTTGTCTGAAGAGTCGTTCGGCCACATGGTCAGGTACTGGGGCCGAGACTCAATTCGGTACCACCCAGAACCATGGCTTCCATGCCCACTTTGAATATTTGGCACTAGCCGATGAAGCTTTTTGAAGCAGTGCAGGTTCGGCACATACTTGAAGAACTTGCAGACCCATAGGTATGTCATCACCCTTCGGATGCTGGTAGGAGTTAGCTGACATAGGGAGATATTGTAATGGATCAGCAAGTCTCGGACAAATACGTCCAAAGGGAACCTCAGCCCGTACTGAAGCTGTCTTGTGTACACCCCCACATACCCCGGGGGTGGACGATGGATTCTATCGGATGCCGCGGGCATTCGGAACCAATACCCATCAGCTTCAAAAATGTCGTAATGCAACTCAATTTGCTCGGCAAACCGATATTGTTCGGCATTCTCCACCCACCATGAGTAGGGGCGGTTCTTTATCATGGCCGAAGCTACTTCGGCATTCTCCCACTCTGAAAACCCGGGAAGGATATCCCAAAGGACAGCGGGAACTTCATCGTCCCGTCCAGAAGCGCTCGGCCCCTCCGTTCTCTGAGGAGGAGCCGAGGAAATTGGAGTCGCCCTAATCCCTTCAGCAGGGTCAGACTCTGGCCTTTGTCCATTCCAAGTCCCAATCCTGTTCCTAGGATCGGGAATTGGCCTTGCTCTTCTTGGAGCACGGGCTCTACCTCTAACTCCTCTTGCCATAGATTATTTCGAAGAAAAAAGTCGAAGAAAAAAAGGGGAAGGAGTTCGAATTCGAAGAAAAATAAACTGAAATCAAAGGAATTTACCTTAATCTGAAGCGAAAGTTGCCGATTTACGAGTTCGTAGTGGCAAGTCTCAGTTTCTAAGCTTAATGCTCGGGGAATTTGCGAAGTTTTGATGCGGGTTCTTGGTTTCTCTCGAGAATTCTTGGTTTGTGTTGGTGAATAAGTGAGGAGAGATGACGCGCCTCTGTTTATATCTCCAGGAATGGGAATACGGGGAGTCCGCGTTTCAATTTCTCTTAAATACCCCACTAAGTAACCGTTAAACACACGACCTTGCGATTAAACTGCCCATTATCCGTCCAACTTCCACAATCATCCGCCTCAACCGTTGTTATCTCATTAATTACGGTTTAAATTCAAATTTTTGGATTAATTAAATCATTTACTTCCCTCCTTTTCTGAATTAAATCAAACCCGACCCGTCATCCTTCCAAATCGGGTCTGGGGGGCAAGTTGTTTGGGTCCAATTTAGTCCAATTGGGCCTAGGCATTAAATGATCCAATTAAAAGCCCAAGGTCAAGGTTCAACTCTCCAATTGTGTTAAAGTCAAAGGTCAGCCCTCAAAGCAAGCCAATTGGGCTAAGGCCCAACTTTTCCATGTATGAAGAGGTATAAAAGCCATCAATATTCATATATTCAGAGATTCATTCATAGATTCATATATTCTCATATACTCAAATAAAGCCTCAAGCAACAAATTCTCTTGCATAGTGTTCTCTTTCTACACATTGTACTGACTTTAGCATCGGAGGGGCCTTCCTCGGCAACACCCCCGAGGCTAGTTTACGTGTGTTTACTGTGCAGGAAACCTTCGGCCCAACATAACTTGGACCGAATCCAATCTTCTCCGTTTCAGCGGACCTTCGGCAAGGTCCCATTGTTTTCACCCGAAACATCCATTATCATGCGTTTAACGTCCTCGATCACATTGATTCGAACGTTGCAAAACCAATTGATATTTCATTGTTGTTGTGGCTACGCCTTGATTCCATTGTCAAGCAATGGTTAATTATATGGAACCATCTCCGTTGACCTCTTGCAAACCGTTCTTTGTAGAGGAGATACCGCTCAACAAGTGTGGAATAAGTTGAAAGACATCTTCCAGGACAACAAGAACACGAGGGAGGTGTACCTCAAAAATCAGTTTTATGCTCTTCACCTATCCAATTTTTCAGATGTTTCTTCCTATTATCAACAATTGAAAAATTTGAAAGATCAATTGGCCGCGGTCGATCAACCCGTGAGTCCGTGACAGAGCAAAATCTCGTAATTCGGCTTGTTTCAGGACTCGTAAATAATGATTACGACACGGTAGCTACCATCATCCAGCAGACGAACTCGCTGCCCTCCTTTGAAACAACTCGTTCACGTCTTCTTCTCGAGGAGACCCAACGTTCAAACGAACAAGGAACAAATCAATCATTTATGGCTCAACAAACGAATTCTAGTGCTCCAACCACCGCCGCACCGCCGTAACATGGCTCAACAAACGAATTCTAGTGCTCCAACCACCGCCGCACCGCCGTAACAACAACCCTTACAACAGCAGCGAACCGGTGGGAGAGGCGCCGGAAAGCGGTGGTCGCGACCGAGGGCGTGGTGGCCTAGGCAAAGGGGCAAAGGACGTGGTGGGGGGCGTGACTCCAACCAGCAGCAACAAAATCTCCAACAACAAGCACCTCAATGAAGTCAATCGAATGCTTAGGTCCAACATCCTCAACAATTCCATTGGGCCCCTGCCCCATTCCCATATCCTCAACAGTAGGACCAAAGTCAGCCTAGACTTAATTTTCAGCCTCCGAGAGCCGCATATGTAGCCCAGTACCCACAACAACAATATCAGGCTTCATATCCGACTTTTCAAGCTCAAAATTAAGGGCCGCTCATGACTCCAACTGAGTTAAGGAATTCTTTTGCCACAATGAGCCTTCTACAAGACAACTCTTGGTATGTGGACTCAGGTGCGACATCTTATATGACCAACAATTTAGGTACTCTCATGCCCTTATTTAATTTGAGCACAAATAATCATATTATAGTTGGTAATGGTCATCGCATTCCAGTTTTAGGTTATGGTCATACTACTTTGCCTTACCCAAAACCCCCCTTGTCCTTTGTGATGTTTTATTAGCTCCACAAATCGTTAAAAATCTTATCACTGTTTGAAAATTTACTTATGATAATTCTGTATCAATTGAATTTGACCCTTTTGGCTTTTTGTGAAGGACCTTCTTACTGGGAAAGTAATAACGAGATGCAATAATTCGAGGGACTTATATCCTATCACTACCACTACCAATCCATCTACTTGCCTTGCCACGACTCTTACTGCTACCACTTCACCTCCTTGACACGATCGCCTTGGGCATACGGGAAAATCTGTTTTAAGTTTGCTTAGGTCTAGAAACTTAATTTCTTGTAACAAGGAGCATGACTCCATTTTCTGTGTTTCTTTTCAATCAGGAAAACATGCTCGTTTGTCGTTTCATACCTCTAATAGTACTACTTCTACTGCCTTTGAGATTATTTATGTTGATTTGTGAACATCACCTATTCGTAGTAATAATGGTCACAAATATTATTTGGTATTGTTAGATGATTTTACCCATTTTGTGTGGACAATTCCCTTAAAATTCAAATCACAAGCTTTTCAATCCTTCTTGAATTTTAGAGCGTATGTCATGACTTAATTTGAATGACCTATAAAATCTTTTCAAAGTGATCACGGTAGAGAATTTGATAATGATCCTTTCAAATTGTTTTGTGTCACTAACGGAATAGATTTCCGCTTCTCGTGTCCACACATATCTTCACAAAATGGGAAGGCCGAACGCATGATCCGTACATTAAATAATATTTCTCGCACTCTTCTCTTTCATGCTTCAATCCCACCTTCCTATTGGGTAGACTCCTTAGAAACGACAACTTACCTCCTAAATATTTTACCAACCAAAGCTATAGCCAACGACATTCCGTCTCATGCTTTGTTTCGTAAAATACCCTGTTATGATCATATTCGGGTTTTTGGTTGCCTTTGTTTTCCTAATCTATCGGCTACTACTCCTCATAAATTAGCCCCAAGATGTACCCCATGTGTCTTTTTGGGATATCCCATGAACCATAGAGGCTACAAGTGTCTAGACCTATCTATAAACAAGATTATTATTTCCCGTCATGTTATTTTTGATGAGTCAACGTTCCCTTTTCGTAATCTTGCTCTTTGCAAAAAATCAGATTATAGCTTCCTCGAGGATTCGGATCCTAGTCCATTACTCTCTCCTTCTTGGCAGCACACCTTGACTCACGGACCAGCCCAAAACAGGTCCATACATGCAGCCCAGCCTAACTCACCTACACCTCCAAGCCCGCCAACCCATTTTAATGTTACTCCCCCTTTTTCTCCCACGCATCAGACTACTCCACAAGGCACTTGCAGCCCACTCTCTCCTACCGCACTTGGGCCTCGGACCATATGACCTTGTTTTATTGGCAGCCCGAATCCCACGTCCAGCAACCCACCTCGCCTATTATTTCTAGCCCTTCTTCACCTGCACACTTGTATACTCTACCTCCACTTCGTGGTGCTTCACCCATCCAACCAACTCGCCCACCCACCTCGCCTCGTGTTACACGTAGTCAACATGGCATTGTTAAACCCAATCCCAAATATAACTCTGCTAATATGACCATCACTTCTCACATATCACCGCTCCCTAAGACATATAAAATTGCTCTTATTGACCCTAACTGGAATGCGGCGATGCAAGATGAATAAAATGCTCTTATTAAAACAAGGACTTGGGATTTGGTACCTAGGCCTATGGGGGTGAACATTGTTAATTGTATGTGGTTGTTTAAACACAAATTGAAGTCTAATGGTGACCTTGAAAGGCGCAAAGCTCGTCTTGTTTGTGATGGCAGGTCGCAAGAAGTTGGTGTAGATTGTGACGAGACTTTCAGTCCGGTAGTTAAACTGGCCACTATTTGTACTGTTCTCAGCTTAGCTATGGCTAAAAAGTGGTCGATTCATCAATTAAATATCAAAAATGCCTTTTTACATGGTGATTTGCAGGAAACTATTTATATGCACCAACCTACGGGTTTTGTCGATTGGAGAGCACCCTCCTATGTATGTCGGCTTCAAAAGGCTCTATATGGGTTGAAGCAAGCTCCTTGAGCTTGGTACCAGCGCTTTGCGAATTTTTTGGTCAGATTGGGCTTTGTCATTGCTAAAAGTGAAAACTCAATCTCTTTTTACTTTCCGAAAGGTTGATGATATGACATATTTGCTTCTTTATGTTGATGATATTATATTAGCTACCTCTTCTGACCGGTTGTTTGAGGGGATCATATCTCAGTTGCAAACTGAGTTCCCTATGTTTGATTTGGGCCCCTAAGTTATTTCTTAGGGATTGTAGTGACCTGTACTCCTTCTTATTTGCTACTTTCATAGGAAAAGTATGTATGGGAGATTTTAGAGCGAGCAGGTATGGGCTCTTGTAAACTTGCAGCTATCCCAGTTGACACTAAGTCTAAACTTAGTGCAGATGCAGGACCACCTTTTCGGGATCCTACTTTGTATCGCAGTTTAGCAGGTACTCTTCACTATCTTACTTTCACCAGGCCATATATTGCCTATGCAGTACAACAGGTGTGTCTTTTTATGCACGATCCCCGGGAATCTCATTATGATGCTTTGAAATGCATTACGCGTTATATTCAGGGTACCATTGATCATGGCTTACATTTATATCCGTCTACTTCTCATCGTATTTGATTACTTACACTAACGCTGACTGGGGAGGTTGTCCTGATACCCGTCGTTCCACATTAGATTTTTGCTGCTTCCTTAGGGACACCTCGTTTCATGGTCATCTAAGCGTCAACATACTTTATCTAAATCGAGTGCAGAAGCAGAATATCGAGGCGTTGCAAATGTTGTCTCTGAGGCATGTTGGCTTCGTAATTTTTTACTTGAGTTACATTGTCCTCTTCGACAGGCTACTATTGTTTATTGTGATAATGTCAGTGCTATCTACCTTTTTGGAAACCCGGTACAACACCAACGCACCAAGCATGTGGAGATGGATATTCATTTTGTTCGAGAAATGGTTGCTTTGGGACAGGTTCGGGTTCTATATGTTCCTTCTAGATATCAATTTGCGGACATTTTCACAAAAGGCCTACCACGAGGTTATTTTTGGATTTTAGATCCAATCTTAGCGTACGACCTCCTCCCGCTATGACTGTGGGGGTGTGATAGATATTATAGTTACGATAATATTTGTCGTAGATTAAAATAACTTTTGTATATATTTTGTATCCTTATTGTACTAGGATTACGAGTCTTGTAAAACTCTATATATATTGATCAATGATACACACTCCATATTGAGGAGTTTTCCCGAAATCTAACAGAGCTAATAAGATTTAATCGGTCAAGTGAGTCAAGTCCTTATATGAAATGGTTCTTCCCTTTTCTAATGAGATCCTCATTAGTTTTTCTTAGTTTACTTGATTTTGTGTTAATTGAATTTGATCTCTTTCCAACAAATTATTTAGCCATTGATCTTATGCCCACATATATACATACTTGTAATTAATCAAATTTACTACAAGTACGTATTTTAGATGTGAGAAGGGTTTCTTTTTTTTTTTTTTTTTTTTTTTTTTTTTTTTTTTTAGCATGGTTCAAACTTGAGTGGTCGACTGTAATGGGCCAAAGCCCACAATACTCGTGCTTCGAGGCTCTCTAGTTATGTGTGACAGTGTGAGTGACTGTGGTCGTATTCCAGCTATCTTTTCTTTTCTTTGAATTTGGCCTCTTTTGTTTTTCTCTCTTATCCTCCTTTGCTTCTGCTTTCAATGTTCTTAATTCTCGCTTTTATGTAAACTTCTTTTCAGTTAAAACAAGCACCGTCACAGTGATGTACAAGTAGCATTCTTTAGACGAATTACAAAATCAATTCGAATGATGTGTGTTGTCGCCCTTCCTTAGAGATTCTTTTATAGATCGGACGTATATATAGAGATAGGTGCACTTAAAGGCAATTTAATTTAGGGTTACAGTCCCGGTCAAATTATATTGCTTAATTTGCTTGTAAGTTGTAATAGTACTTTTGGGAATGAAACTATAAGGATATATATGTTAGCAAGTTTCGCCCTCCTCTCTTGTAGTCATTTTAAGTTATACTCAGATGTCTCACTAGTTTAAATGGCTTCAACCTTTGAGTTTCGTTTTAGAGATAATCAACCGTTAAACACTATTGCCAAATTTTCTAGTTCTGATTCATGTATCTTTATTACCAATATCTTCCATTATTCCATCAAAACAATCCAAACACTGTGCAATCATTAAAATTAAAAAAAATAAATCCCGCTCAAATACGTACAATAGTCATACATTCAAAAAAAAAAAAAAAAAAAAAAGATGAACTAGATAGGATGTCTAAAATTTTATTCACATTATATACCTAAGCTAGGTGTAATATATTGAACTTTAGACCATCCAATATCCTTTAACCTTTCTCACAAGAAAGTTGAGCATGACATCCATAATAACAAAAGGTTAGTTTTAAACTTTAAAATGATCTAAATGTATGTACGCACTCAAACCCAACACATATTCAATTCCTTAACCCTTAAGCCAAATAACCAATAATCTTCTTATAATAAAGTTAACTAATTAAATCATTCAACTTGTACATAAAAAGGTGTTAGCCGATTCATTTAGTTAGGACAAAAAAAAACAACAGATCAAATAATAATGGAAGATAATTCAAGTACCAAAGAAAGATTATCCCATGTAAGCTCTTCAATAACACACAAAATAGGAGACTTCTTTCATTGTTTACATCTTCCAAGGTCTCTAACAGTGCCAGCAATAATACTAGGTTGTCTTCTCTTGCTTCTCTTATGTTGTTGCTGTTGTTCCAAAAGATCTGAAAGACCTCCTAGGATGATGATGGTTAAGGTTTGATGCATTTTCCTTGAAATTTCTTCCATGTTTTAGTATTGTATTATGATTTATTTAGAGTTTCCTTAGCTTCATCATAATTGTACCCTTTTTTATTTTTTTTATATTTATTTTTGTTACTAGCAATAAGTAAGCTAGCTAGCTTTGCTGCTTTCGAGCCGGGGTTTGATTTTCTAGATGCAAGCTCTGATGGAATGACTGGCCGAAGGACACAAGGCAGAGTTTTGAAATAGGCTATGGGTTCACGACTTTGTGTCTCCCCATAGTTAGGAGGATCTAGCAATATGGTAATAGTAAGGGATTATCATATAATAATTTTAGGTATTTTTCATATGTACAAATGAATAGCATTTGTTTTGGGTCATTAATTTTGTTTTATTATGGTTCATCTAGGTTCAGATTGGAAATTCCCTAGTATCTTGTACTTTGATCATGCATATATAGGCATATAGATAGCCATTTTGTATTAGATGATATGAAAAAAAGAAGGTGGTCTATATATAATTAATTGAAGTACTTGTATATGTTAGTAGGCTGTATCAATGAGTGTAGATAAAGGTTTCATGAATTAAGATGAATCATATATCGAGTAATTAATTCGAATTAAGGGTTGGTTCTTCTTGATTGTTTTTAGAATTACGAAGTATTTTTGAAGTGATAGCTTAATTAAGCTATTTGGAATGGGATGGAATTGATTCCAATTCCTTTCTTTGGTGTTAAGTCTTTTTACGTTACATAAGCTAGATATAATTCTATTCTTTTCTTTGGTTTTAATTTGCTAAGTTTAGTTAATAACAAAGTTAACATACTCTAGCTAGATTCCAATAGTGAGCTACACTTCTCTAAATTTCTAAACACTTTAATTGATATATACAATGCCTAAAAGTGAGTCCTACACGAAATTTTAATTTAGTTCACTATATCATGGAGTCAATTATATATCTTTTCCCTAATTAACCAATGTGTGTGTTTTTAATATCGTACACATGTGTAAGTCTTTCATAAGATTACAATGAAAGCTAAATGTGTGTAACTAATTGATTTGTGATTTGCGAACTATAATCTTACATAACGCATTCATGTTTATTGTTGATTAACTACTACGTACCATTTTTAAAAACGGATGACCTTCAAGTTAAGATATGATAGGTACATAGTAATAACATAGGTACTATATATATATATATATATATATATATATATATATATATATATATATATATATATATATATGTATGGTTGTTGCATATCGTTCTTTAATTTTATTTTTTCCTTTGTCGAGTATACTAAGTTCTCTTAGCTATTTTAAACCTAGTACAATGTTATAAACATATGGAAGGAGGCAAGGAGCCCTGTATACACACATGAATAACAACACAACGTGCGTGTTAAATGGTAATAAACTAATAACCAGTAACAAACGAAAGTTAAAAAATAGGTTATTCAATTCACTTTTCTCTACTTTCATACTTTTGACTTTTCAAAGTTTGTCTTTTCTACAACAATGGAAGAAACCATCATTCTTAGCTTCTTTTGATAGGAGGAGGAATGAAAATATGCTTCCCTTGTTTTTTTGAAATGTTTTTTTTTTTTTTTTCACTATTGGAAAAATTATTTTCCACCCCTATATTAACAGATGTTTCTATAGTGATTATACTTAAAATGACTATCATATTATACCTAATTTTCATTGGCCAATTTTTGATTTGTTTTTTTGTTGATCAAACTTATTAAAAATGAATTTTCTTTTTTAAATTTAATATTTTCAAAAATTAATTATGAAAAATAAAAAAAAAAGGCAAAAATTAAGAAAATTGATTTATGTACAAAAATGAATTTCAAAAAAGAAAAATCATTTTTCTTAAGTTTGACCAAAAAAAATTAATAAAAGTGGTAAATGAAAATTAAGTATAATAGTAGTCATTTTCTAGATGACTATACTGTAGCTTATTCACTTTTCATTAACCAAACAAATTTCTTATGAAAACATTTTACATCAATTTAAACGGGACATATTAATTCTTATAAATTTTTTTTTTAAAAAGAAACGGGACAAATAAAAGCATAATTAGTTACACAAATATCATGTACTTTTATGAAAGACTTCATGAGTATGACAAAGAGAAGCTTCGAATGTTCTACATATACATAATTCAAACGAAAAAACTCTTGACAAAATAAAAACCAATCATTAAAGAAAAGCAAAAGAGAGAGAAAGGAATGAAGATGACCAAAATTGAAAATTGCACATAAGATTAACATCGTTGGTTGGACAATATGACTAAGTTTCTGAAGAAATTAAAGTGAATCTTTTTTGGTGCAATGAATTTATTGTATGTGAATGATGAACGTACTTTATTTAACTTTGCTCATTGTAATTTGAACAAATTACTACACAACTTTAATTCATTTTGTTTGGGTGTGGGACCCTGGTAGGTTGCAATATTATACACCATTATACCATACTAATACTAATATACTATCTACACCTTTCTTTATTAATGTACTGCTCCAAGGAGGTAAATTGAATGATATAGCACCATGATATATATGTTCCAAGGAGGTGAATTGAATGATTTCATGTTATAAACTATAGTAGGGAACATATAAGAGCAAGTGGGAAGTGGTAATTGTGCAATTTTATAGAGATCATACCTGGAAGGACTAAGGAGGATATATCAGGAGTGACCATGCTACGTTTAGTTATAGTATAGTTTTTTGTTCGTTTTTGTTTGTTAGGGGCTAGAGCCTCTTTCACTTAAATTAAAATGAATGATTAATGCATGATGGAGATTGAGGTGAAAAAATGGCTCTAATAGTGGTACATTATCCATTAGTTTTCCCAACATTATTTCCTAAGAGTTAAATATTCGAGAGAGATTATTAGAATGAGTTAAATACCCTTAATCACTATAATGCATGTGAGATGTTCTACATGCAAAATTATGATTACACTCAATAAGTCAATAGCATGCATCATATATGGTCCAACTACAACCATTAATAGCGATGCGAATAAGGGTATAAAAAATGTACAATTTGCAAGTTGCAACAACTATTGCAACTTTGCTGAAAGGATCAGATGTTTTCATTTTATTCAATTGTCATGTACTCCCTCCGTCCCTAATTTTTTGCCCCATTTGACTTTTTTCGATCTCCAACAAGCGTCTTAAAACGGTTATATCTCCATTTTCACACGTGTAAGAATTATAAAAACTAAATATCAATAAAATGTACAATGAGACGTATCCAATTCAACAAGATCTCACATGATTATATTAAGAGTATTTTATGATCAAAGTTTACAAAATTTGACCCAGATTTATGCAATGGGGCAAAGGGACAGAGGGAGTATTTGTTAGATATAAATCTCTTTAAAGATGTCGTATGTTTTTGTTTTTGTTTTTTTTTTAATCAATCTTTGTTTAAAAAAAAAAAAAAAAAAAGTCTCTCGAATAGATTTACATAGAATTAATTTTTTTTTATAGATAAAAAATAACAATATAATGAAAATAATTCATCTTTTAAAAATCATTTTTAGTGACTAACAATCATTATTTCCAACTTACTAAATAATCCCAAAATAAACCCTTGCTTCCCTCTCCATGTTCTTCATTTGCTCTTATATTTTTGTTCATTTAATGGTTGAAATGTACTCCATACTATAGCTTGTGACCTTGTGTCAATGATTGTGTTTTTTTTAATGAATATCTATAATTATATACTTAAAAGTGAACACAAATTCTTATGTATATGTGGCTGGTCACACCGTGTGGCCAGCCATTACAGGGGTTACTTCGTTAGTGTAAAAGGGGTTACTTAGTCATTGTTAAAGAGGTTACTTTGTCAGTGTTATAGGAGTTACTCGGTAAGTAATATAGGGGTTACTTGGTCAGTGTTATAGGGATTACTTTGTTTTTTTTATAAGTAGTCACACGGTGTTGCCGATCACACACAAGATGGGCTAGCAAAACCAAGATGGCAAAAAAATTCCCTCCAAAAGTTTTTTTTTTTTTTTTTGTGCACCGAATTTTTGGTAATATATTCCATTTATACACATCCAGTAAAAATGTTATTCTTTAATTAATACTATACAATAGTATTTTCCTGTCTTTAACTTTGTGATTTAGTCCAATTTTCTATTAGTTGTGTAAGTAATATACATATAATATTCCCTCAATTTATTATTTTTTTTTTAAATTTTTGATTTTTTAAACTTTGATACTCTCTCTGTTTTCTTTAATCTAATATAATTATCTTTATATTTTGTGATTACAAAATAAGCATCCTGCTTTGCAAAATTTAAATTTTTACAATTGTATGTACTATATAGTGTTAAACTAATGTTAAACTGTTAATTAGGCACGAGACGTAATATATTACGTGGACTGGTGTTAGTGTGTGTTTGGGCCCAAGTTGGGTCACACGTGGCTTGTTATGAAGAAAACTTTGGGCTTTGTTAACATTGAAGCTTGAGCCTGTGTGCCAAATTCTCTATAAGTGATGCAAAAGTCATAATATTGTGTTTTTTAACAACAATAATACACAGAGTAAAACATACAGAGTAAAATCTGAAAAAATACTCGTAACAAATAAGTGAGATACATTCATCATTAGATATGCGAGACATGAAAAAAAAAAAAAAAAAAAAAAAAAAAAAAACTTTTTAAAAAGAGGGCAAGGGCAATTCCTTTTTCACTATTTTTTTTATTTTATTTTTAAAATTTTGGGTGAAGGGATTATTACTAATCTTTACAGCAGTAGTACCATTTTATGTTAAACTTAATGCATTTTACTTTTACATAGGATTATTATTTGAATAGTTTGCCTTGAAATTAAAAGGATTAATACCGAGTACTATGAAATATGAACAATTTCCTAAAAAAAAATAAAAAAATATGAACAATACCTTGATCCAGAATAATTAAACTGAAGAACATTAGATCAATACTCAAGCTGTAAGTTTGTCAAAAAAAAAAAAAAAAAAAAAGTTGTAAGTTTGTTGATAGAGTATATAAATCAATCTCGTGTTTCAACTATTAGCTTAAAAGTACTATTTAATACGGAGTAATATATGTATTTTTTTTTAAAGAAATATATATATTTGATTATGTAATCCGTATATAGTAATCCATACATGTTAATATTCAAGGCAGAGTGGCAAATCTAGGAAAAGCATCAGTTTTATTTTCTAGGTCAAGATCTGAGTTCACTTTTCGAAGGTTCATCAATTAATGTTTTTACACTTCATTTAATCAAAGCTAAAGGAAGGTTCATTGCAACTGAAGCGCAATTACCCTATTTTTCATTGCACAACAAAAAGCAAAAATTAAAGAATTACAACTTAGGCCATACTTAAGTTAGAATTCCTTTATCTTTCAAAAAAAAAAGTTAGAACTCCTTTTTATTTTTAATCATACTTCGTAACAACTTTCCCCTAATCAAAGGTTACGATAACAACTTTTCCCTAATCAAAGATTACGATGTCTTTTAATTGTACGGACAATTAGGAATTAAAACGAATTTTTAACTATTGATTTTTATTTTTTTAAAAACAAATTATATTAAAATTGTCGCTACTTTAAGCTAAGCAACACTTGTAGTCAT